CGAGTGCGAAGGCGCAATCTACATGACAAATTCCGACATGCTCGCCCATCTCCTCAAAATTTGCCGGAGGTACAGAACAAACGGAAGTATTTTGAAGCAACTTCTCCTTCTGCGCCCACTATTCCATTCAATGAAAGAGGTAAAGTCCCTCACCTGAAATTGGGATGTGTACTTCGCATTGTCGTTCCGCGCCAAATCCTCACAGTAGCCATAAAAAAGTTCCACGGGAATGTCGTCGCATGTTGTTGAATCTGAAATATCATCCATTAGACCTAGAAACTGAACCTACTTTCAGTGACGGTCAAGACACACAAGTTCGATACTAATGATCAACAGGTCCTGAAACATTGCCCAGTAGACCTGAAAACTGCACCTACTTTCAGTGATGGTCAAGACAGAGGTCTTCCAGTTTTCGATAACAACAAATGTTATAGTTTTCGGCCTTGCTCCAACCAAGTCCCTAATAGATTTGCTTCCTCTAGAGAAACCAGAACTGTTCAAAGTACGTGCAGGGTCATGGATAGGGAATCAGGTTCAACCAGAGTAACAATTAACACCTTGAGGCCCATGCAGCCCATATTTGTGGTGCAGTCTGTCAATCATGTGGGACCTTATGACTCATATTTTGAAAACAAGTATTATACTTTTGATTTTTTTTATATTTCATTCTTCAAGATTCCTTCTAAATTATCCAATAGGTTTCTGTTGACAGTTTGCTTGACAGGATTTCTAAGGAACCCACTGAAATTTTAAGCGGTCGCTGAACGTAAATCATGTGCAGTCTCCAACGTGTTCATCTGGGAACATATTGGCATTTTAGCATTTCCTTTATTTCTTTCAATTTTCGACCGCGCTTAAAAAGCCACAGCCATAGCAAACATTGTGAATAGAAATGCTTGAAAATAGCTGTTCATGTGTCGTAACTGCTTCACAACGGGGATGCTGGTGAAAATAATTCCTTCACTGGATCTCATACATTCGGGTCAAGTTCGCTCAGTAGTGTGGTACAAATATTCCAACAGAGTTATTAAATCATGACCCCAATCACAAAAAATAGAAAAAAAGGCTTTGAGAATATCGATATAAAAAACGATCCATCTCTTACAAATTCTACATAATAAGAGAAACGTTGAAGACGTACCGTAGACAAGAGGGCTGAGCTCCTCGAGGTAGACGCACTTTTCCTTCTTCTTGATGAGCATTTTTATATCGAGACAGCGGACTGAAACAAAACGATTTTGTTTCAAACACAAAACGTAAGGCGGTGAACTGACCCTTTCAAGGAGTAGATGATCAGGAAGCAAAGCACAACGAACAGTACCAACGCCGAGATGGCCACCAGCAGTGAAAAACGAGGAGGACTCGTGCTCTGAAATATTTTGGACGATCTTTACTATTAGCTTTGTTTTCTCTTTTATATCTTCCTTGCTTCACAAGTGGTGATTTTGGTTGTATAGTGAGCCTCAGTCCGAGCTAAACAAGGATTGAGATACCCTTTATTGAGTTAGGCTATTTCAAAAAGAGCTCTGCCATCATTTTGCACAGGTTTGTTCGAATATTTGTCCTCTTTCGACACAGAGACATGGCCAGTTACCTAACAATAAGAGAGGAATTACAAGATAGAGCGAGTTGTACGAGCAGACTCCGCGTAAGTTGAACGAATATGTAAAAACGGCACCGTAAATAACGGTAAAAGCAAGCCCGTAGCGAGCTTTCAAGTAGCGACAATGCCACGACTCCTTGCAAAGAGACCCTGCTATCCCTCTTCCGAATGAATGTTCTAAATATCTAATTACGACCCATGCCCTCAGACAATCTAGCGCTCGGATATGGATCGACACCTAAAGGTTATTAAGTGAAGAACAGGTCAGACATCATCCTCAATTTTGGTGTTCCCTATGATTTCTTTTGCTTTTCATCTCACTAGCGGTCATCTTCGCAATGCATTGTTTTATTTTCAAATGGTACTTCACACCAATTCGACCGTGACTCGTGCCTGTTCGGCTTTTAAGATTTGGCCCATTACCAGCTAATTTTTTCGAACATTGGACTGATGTCGAACTTGTGCTCGGCCTTGCGGTAAGTGTCAGGCCTCCGCGAGGCTTACGCATTTTCAAAGGCAATTAGCTATGAAAATCCTACAATCCCATGAGAGGGCTGAATTCTAAAGGCCTCTAATCGATGTTGAACGCTCAGAAGAACAAAGTTTTTACACGAACAGGTCCCCTTGGGTTTTTGAATTCGGAAAGCACCTACATTTTCAGCCCTCGGTAGAGTTAAAGGGAACTCTCTAGGTTTACTTACATCTCTCAACCTCATGCATTTGCTGTTTGGAGAGCAGACAGATGACTGATACGAGCACTGATCTGAAATAAGGATAAAATATCGGAGACAACTGACTCGTGCAGCTTGGCCAAAACTCTCAAAACTCACGACTTAGCACGAAGCGTTGTTCATTGCCCCAGGGTCCTTTCAGTGTTACCCGGCTGTCGACGATGCTTCGTACCATGCACATTACCCTCACCTTGTACTCGTCATGAAGGGCCAGGTCGATCACGTCGAGCTAAAATAAGCGGATACATAGACAATCTAGATAAAGCCTTGTAGGATTCGAGTTTTTTAGACCAGTTTTCTGAGTAATCATGGTTCACATTCCCTACTTCATTATAAGAAGAGACCTCATAGTTTTTCAATGGGCGTAGCCAGGGTTGCAACACAATTTTGACTCCTTGCTTCTAAGTCTTCTAAGGCACACAAATGACCCCACAATAATATAACAATATAATATAAGGAGTACAGAAAGGTGTTCAGTTGTTACCTTCGAAGCGCTGGTGTTGAACCGTAATGTGCTTGTTTCGTTAGTGATCTCCACTTCACAGCTCTGCCCTTCGTTGGAATTCCACTGCAGGAGGATGCCATTTTTGCAGTCAAAGGTCAGTGAAGAGATTTCTGGTGCAGCTGGCACTGGAAAAGGTTGGGACTAACAAGGAAGCTCTCAGGTCGCCATGGCCATTCAAAAAAAGATGTATACCGCTAGATGTGCCTTTGAGTGCTGATCTCAAATCTACCTTCCAAATCTGCTAAACGATTTTCTGAAGGGAGTTATGAAGCAAAACAGCGCAACAGCGGTGGAGATTTGCAGTCAAAACGTAGTAGGATCGGCCCCTGATCGCGTCTACTGTTTTGCCTTCTTTAGTAGTATAGCTACATAGAAGGCTTTAAAGAACCTATTCAGCCTAATTCTTGACGAACGCAAGGCAGCGAACGGTTCTGGTTCAATCCAAATAAGGAGTTCATTGAAGCCTTCTAGCTGTACTACTAAAGAAGGCAAAACAGTAGATGCGATCAGGGGCCGATTCTCCGACATTTTGACTGCATGTCCCGACCACTGCCGTTGCGCTGTTTTGCTTCATAACTCCCTTCAGAAAATCGCTTAGCAGGTTTAAGGTAGATTTGAGATCAGCGAAAAACTCGTCTAGGGGAATACACCACTACTTGAATGGTCATGGCAACCTGAGAGCCTTTCTTTGTAAGAAAGGCATGGATGCTTCGTGATTATGCGACGTCAGGGAAAATTCAGGTCGACTATAAACGAATGACGAATGCTTGGCGTATCCAAAAGAGATTGACAAAATAATCTTTTTCTACTCTGAATATTATTTATCCTTGTTGAAGGATCACACATTGGTCCATAAACGCTTACTTCTCATTTATTCGACCTGAATTCTTCAAAATATTGCTTTGGAATGCTGATTCCTACGCATATTTTAATTTATGCAGATGAGCTAGTCACCGAATAAATAAATGCGTATTTTGAAGCGCGTGCGTTCAACAGACAAACCTGGGACATCAGTCATCACCACGTGTTCGACACTTCGCTGTCCTTCACCTTTCGTGCTTGACGCCGACAGCCGAAAGTGGTATTTCGTAGACGGCTCTGAAGCAGAAGGACTATTTGAAAGAGACGGTAAAAAACTGCAGAAAAAAGGTTTCTTCCCGAAATCCCCTCACGATTCTTCCCCCCCCCCCCCTTTCCACTCTGTCAGCATATTTTTATAGCGACTTATAGGGTTTAGGCAATATAGTTCCACAAAGTTACCAGAGGTGGTGGGTGTGTTACAGCTAATGTCCGAAATTTCGTAAAGTTGTGCCATAACGAATCCCCGAGGAAATATGTATGCTCACCGAGTCCGTTCAACTCGAATTTATATGAGGTCTGCTCGGGTCGGGTGACACTCAGGTGATCGACTTTCCACTTCGCATGGCCATGCACCTGCAATTAAACACCTTTAGTCGATGTGAGAAAGAAAAGCGTTCAACTGGAAACAAAAGAAGCCAAACGTGGATGACAAGGATCAACAATCATCGGAGCAGAAATTATATTTATTTATGTATTTATTATTTATTGTATACTCGTATGAGTGCCACTGTTAACTAACATAAGACCAAAGGCAAAAGCAAGGGAAGTTATATAAAGAGTAAAGGTAGAGGTAGAGGCCAATCTGCAGATGATTTAATAACACTCCAAACATCTTTTTGTTAACTCTCATGTGACAGCAGTGCAGCATAAACAGCACTAGAGCCCCTATAAAATCTGGAACTCCTTGAATTTGGAGCTGGCGGTGTGGTCGGCCGATATGAACCAACTAACAAACTTACAAACTCTCATTCATACATATAGCTTCTTGCCTTTCGAATTTCTTCTTCTCCCTAGCGTTAGTCCCGCGCAGTCGCAGGGTCCGCTGTCTTTGTCAGTCGTCGCCACTTTGCTCTGTCCAGGGCATCTTCTGCTGTGGCCGTGACCTCACTAGGTCCTTCTTGATCACGTCCCTCTACCTCTTCTTTGGGGCTTCCTCATTAAATGTGCCACCCAAAAGAACCTCAATAGCTCCGCCTACACTTTTTTATCCCTCTTGCACCTCAATGACCAG